AACCCAAACCATTCTATGATTCGATGATTCTCTCTCCTGGTGCAGCGCATGCCTCTCCTTTGAAATAAGCAATGCAGCATAGATTGAACGTGTTAGATAATACAGAATTGTCTCTTTTGGGGGAGTGTTGGTTAGAGACAATTTCCTCATTTTTCATTACTTGCTAAGATAGGAATGGATAGTCAGGGTTGCCCATGTTAGAGGAACGATCATCTGGAAGTCACCTGACTGCCGTAACTGGTAGATGTGCCCACATCAAGCTATGCAAAAGGATCAAGTGCTGAGATTTTGGAGGAAGTTCGACCAAACTGATTCCCTCTCTAGCAACGAGGAACGAGGTTTCTGCCTGTGGATGGACACAGTAAAGGCCTGTCCTTTCGCCTCCTGGTCATGCTTCGTGCTTCTCAGCTGAGGCGCATGCGTTTGGATGTATGTATTAAATTGCCAGCTCATCCTTAAATAGCAGCCTCCAGTGAACTGTAAATGCAACACAGAACGTGCTGTAGCCAGGAATTTGAGGAAGGAGGAATTCCACCCAACAGAACTGCTGAGACTTGAAAATCTAGCTAGGTTTTTTCTTCTGGCAACTTCAAAGCTAGCAGGTCTCTGTGAGTGCAGGCTCTGGAATTAATACAGCACCTAAGGGTTGTTGTTCTCTTCAATAGCTCACGGGGTCTGCAGAGCTAACAGGGAAAGTTGTACTTTGTTAGACTCCGGAAAATGAATAGACGCTGCTGAATAAAGAAGTTACTTTTCTCAAATTCTGCTTTTGCTGTGGTTACATCTGTAAAGGGCAACATCCAATGTAGGGATGTTCTGCTTTAGTCAGGTTTCTCCAGCTCATGCTTTCCCTGCTCATCCCTACCACTAGTGAGATCTCATTTCGTTCATTGTTGTGATGTTATTTCATTGACGTTTTGAGGGAACAATGTAATCTAAATACATACATAGCTTGCCTTGCTTGGAGGAATTTGATGCCGTACTTAAAACTAATACAGATATATCATTTTACAGCACGTCCTCGCTCCGGGGAGATAACAGTGTGGGCGAGAGGAAGGAAACAGATCAATTGGTGAGAAGTAAAGCTTGAACAAATTTAGAGGTTGTCCACCTGGGGACTCGCTGAGTTACAATTAAATTTTTGAAAGTCCTGAAATTAATTTATTTTAGTTCACAAATTCGTGCTACCTTAAGTTTTAAGGTGTGCTAGCTCGCAGTGTGGGAAATTCAGCCCAGCAATTACCTGCTACCAATAAACTGCAAATGGATGTTGTACACTTGATTTGACACCAACACCTTTTTTTTTTTCTTCCCCCCCCCTCTTCCTTTTCTCCTCAATCCTTCCCTCCCCTGGATGTCCCACCCTTCCCCTTCTCCCTCAGGCCTGTATAGATGAGAACCTGGATATGGTGAAGTTCCTTGTAGAAAATGGAGCCAATGTGAACCAGCAAGATAACGAGGGCTGGACCCCTCTTCATGCAGTGGCATCGTGTGGCTATCTGAACATAGCAGAGTGAGTGAGTTTCAGTCTGTTCTGGGTATTTGTAACACTTTCCATGGCTTCCTCTGTGGAGCAGGTACACGGGTGATTGATGCTCTGAGACTTACACAACGTCTTGGGAAGCAATGCTGAAAATAGATGCATTTCTCCTGTTACTGAATTCTTAATTTGTGAGGATTAAGGTGGAGCCTGCAACTGGTTGGCTTTTGTTGATCCCATTACAGTGACTTAACGATTCATTAGATACTTTAGCTAAAACGCCAAGCCAAAGGGAAACACGGTGGCTGACGGGCAGGCACACTGATCCAGACGTGTAGCGAAGCACAGCTTTGCTCCTGCCTGTCTTTGCTGTGCACTTCCGTCAGCAGGGAGCCCAGGTAGAATTCTAAGTGTTACCTAGGAACGATTTGGGATTTTTTTCCCCTCTAACGGGAAAGAATTCTGTCTCTCTACAAAATGTATGAGTGTAGTTACAAGCATATATTTATTCTGGCGTAAACCCCAAATAGTAGATATGTGGCATGCTATTCAAAGGGGGACTGCGTCACTGCTAACCCTTGTTCTGAGGCTTTGCAAAGTGACTACGTTTTCTTACCATAGACAGGCCTATGTAAACAGTACTGCACTTGCGTGGAGACTTTCGAGAGAGAAATGCAACGTTCTGGGCTCCACAGTCATCAATATGCCAACAGCATCATTTCTTTTTCTTCAAATTTGGGTCTTATGTTTCTGTTTCTTGTGTGCTGTCTGACAAAAGATGGAGAACTAGATAAAAGTAACTGCTTGTTATTTAACCCACTTACAACTGGAGCATTATCTTCTTTTATTTTTTTGTTTTGTTGACAACACAAGATACTGGGCTCAGTTTGGACATAACCAGATGAAATTCCGTAGCCTGCCGTAGAGTAGATAACCTAGTGAGTACAAACATAAAATACATATGAAACAAGAGACAGTAAATATAGCAGAGTTTTGCCCAGTAGATATTTAAAGCAAAGCAGTAACCTGCTGTAAGTGACTTCCAACAAAGATTTGACTCTTCTTGGCACGGTTTCTGATTCCAGGGTTTGAAATAACATTCTGCATCTGATCTGAGCGTTCATTATCCTCACAAAGGACTAATAGTCTGTTTGTCCCAGAGAAGATACTGATACCAGACTACTTGTTGTGCACCAACAAGTAGCTCTGAGAGTTTGAGAGTTGCTCAAATATATGACCTGGAGTGCTAGAATAACTGGAACTGAAGAATAGGCAAACGTAAATGGTAGTTTCCTAGCTGAAATATTTTTTTCTGAGATAAAGGCTGCATTATAGGTTATAAGAATAAGGGAAAACAATAGTATTTCTCAAGATAGTCCTCTACAATATATTCTACCAAAAAAAAAAAATCTTCTGTGGCTTATTTATTTCTGTGTCTTGTACTCCTCCTGGAACAATTATTAGCTCTTTGGATGATCCTTTATCAGTTTTTTTCGTCTTCCCAAATACTAGTTCTTCAAATGAAAGATATTATTATTCTTTACCAATTGTACCCTGCTTATATATTTAGTCCACTACAGCTACCAAGAAGTTACCAAAATTTAAATACTGATAACTATTTCTCAAAAGCATTGAAAATAAATTTTAAAACTAAGCAACCTCACCCTCCTAGATTGGTGTGTTTAAACACATGCTACTTTTACTTCCCAGAATTTTACTGGTTACAGGATGTACAAGCCAAAGAAGACATTAATTCTTTTTAAATGAACTTTTGGTGTAGTTGTAAAAAGACAAAAAATCAATGATGGCTTGGCTTATGTTGTTGTTGTTACTATTTTATTATTATTTCATTTTTTTTTTTAAAAAAAAAGCATAATGAATCAGATTAGTGCAAGAACTCGGGGTATTTGAATAACTATAGAGAAACAAAACCTATGAGCCACTGGCTGGGGACCTTGCATTTAACAATGAACTTTTTAGTCTAGAAATTTGATAAGAATAAGGCACTCATTTGTTAATTGAACTTCAATGAGAAAGCCATATATTTTGTTCTGCTACTTGATTTACTGTAGAAGTTGTACTGAAGCCTGCATACGAGGTCTAATATGTTGGTTTGGGTCTCATTTATGTAGGTACTTAATTAGTCATGGAGCCAACGTGGCTGCTGTGAACAGTGAAGGTGAAGTCCCGTCTGACATCGCAGAGGAAGCAGCCATGAAGGACCTGCTTCTGGAGCAAGTAAAGAAACAAGGTAAATCAGTAGCGGGATTGAATATGTGAGAGTTGGACCTCTAAGAGTTTCTGTAAGAAAATTCTGTTGGCTTACTGTCTGTAGGCGAAGAGATCTGAAATCTGGCCCAAGAGGCAGCAGACAAATTTTGTCTTGGTAGCAGAACAGTGGAAGAGATGCAGAAAGTTTGTGGTGTGCAGTCTCTGTCCTTAGGATTCTTCAAAGCAAGGCACCACAATACTGAAATCCAATTCATTAGATCTGTTTGCTTTTAAAGTGAGATTTAATTCTGATCTCTGGTATCAATCAAAGACCTTGTTTCACTAAGACTTGATAATACAGAGGTGAGATTTACAGCCCTGCCAAGAGCAGGGACCAGGAAGTGAGTTTGCCTGGCCTGAGGTGACCTGCTTTATCCCAGTCCTTCCCGAGACTTCTCCTGCAGCCCATCTGCTCTGCCATTTCCTCTTTCTCATCAGGTACGCCTGGCTGAGGGGCTGCTCTCTGTCCTCTCCCTGCAAAAACATCACTGGTAGAAGAACATCTTGGACAGTGAAACTTGTGTTATAATTAAGAAATGCTTCACCAGTGTAAAATTTTCTTCATACTCATGAAATTCATCTGTGAGTGGTTAGGTGTCTGCATGAGACATTTAAATCCTATCTATGAAGCTCATCAAGAGTGTTTGTGAAAGATGCATTTATCTCGACTATGTGGGTAGTGATGAGCTGAGATAAATTGAGCTGATACAAACCAAACTATCCACCCTGGAGATATACGGACTTCTTACTTAGCCTTGAGAAGAAGATTGATGGGGGGATCTAATTGCCGTCCTCCACTGCCTTGAGGGAGGCTATAGAAGCTATGGAGACTCTTCTCAGGGCTGCAGTGTGACAGGATGAGAGAAAAAAGTCGTAGGTTTGAACAAGGGGCATTCTAACTGCATATAAATATATATGGAAAAAATGTTTCCCAGGGAAGTGGTACAGTGTTGGAACAGGGACCCCAGGAATTTGTGGAATCTCCACCATTGGAGGTAGTCAAAACTCAGCTGCATTCAGCTCTGAGCAATTTGATCTGGGTTTGAAGTTACCCTCCTTTGAGTAGGGATTTGGGCTAAAGACCCCCCAAAGATTCTTTCCAGTCTAGATTATTTTATGACTGCAGGTTGGTGTTGGGGTTGTTTCCACGCTGGATTGAATCCAGTCCTCTCTAACAGATGTCTTCTGCTTGGCACATGGTGGTTACTTGATTTTTGAAGCTATTTTCAGGTATAGTTAGGAAGAGATCAGTCCCTTGCTACTTCGTCAACCCTGTTACTGTTCCACTGGCAAGTTTGTAGCTGTCCATCTGAGAGCTAGTTGTTATTTGTGTTAGTGTTCCTCTTGGAAAACTGATGCGGGATCATGTTCCTTCTGGTAGACAGAAACTTTTCATTTTCTAGTCTAGTGGTACTTGTGAGAAAGTTATTCTTATTTTGTTCCCCTTTTTCCTCCACTTTGAAATAAGCTTAAATAGCCCTTCTCCCTTACACTTAGTCTGCTCACATATTTAAAAAGAAGAATTGTGTCTATGGTCAGCGCTTGTGTTACTGGCCTGTCCAAGCCATGCCTGTCTCCTCTCTGCAGTCAGGCTTCCTTGGATGCCCAGACAGACAGAGATCCTTTCTTTACATCAGTGTAACTTGTCTCTCTTTAAAGTGGGTATCGAGAACTGTACATGGTCGTAACACGGTTGAAACCTTACAGGACGTTAAGGCAGTAATTCTGCTTCGGCTGCAGATATTTTGCCTGATGCTTCTTGTTTGGCTTTTTCATGCTTCACCGCGTTAGCGGTATCCTGCTAAGATGCCCTGAAACAACCATCTGTCTCCACCGAGAAGCTTCCCATTGACACAGTTTAAAAAGATCATAACTGCTGGAGTAAATGTGGTGTAAGCTTTAAATAAGTGTCCATCCAGCTCGGTAGCCTGTCTTCAACGGTAGCTGTAAGCAGATGCCTGCTGCAAACTATTCTAACAGGACAAGCACGTGTGATTCCCCTCCCAAACATTTTCCTAGCCTCCAGCTGCTGTGCCTCAAGGAATTCCTCAGCCAGATGGGCTTTCTGTGTACTTGTGAATCCCCTGTGGCTTTCTCTTTCATGAACTTGTGGGGTCCTTCTTGGGACCTCCTGCCATGTATAGTATTATGTTTAATAACTACAGATTTCTCTAATCCTTGTTCTGAAGCCAGTTGTACTTCTAATCTTTGCAACATCCTGTGGTAGTGAGTTTCACAGTTCAGACTCTGAGTTGATAAGTGTTTTCTTTTGTTCTGTTTTAAACCTAATGCTCAGTAATTTAATGGGGAGTCATGTCAGTTTTATACTGAAAGAACTAACCCATAGGGACAGTTGCTCTTCAACACCCTTCTTGATTTACGAGATTTGTCATCTTCTTCATATTTTTTCCAGAGTCAGCGAGCTGGAGTCTGATTAATCTTGTATGGAGCTGCGTTGTACTTCTGATTGATATATCATCCTTACACGACCTCGTTATCATGAAAACTCCACTTACAAAAACCAGTCTAGGACAGTTTTGCCTCTTGTTGGTTTAGTGACAATTGACACAGCCCATCAGCCAGACCCTCCTGGCCTCTCCACGTTGTAGCAGTTGTTTCCCAGGGTGGGAAACTTGTCCCTCTTGTTATCACAAAGGCCCATAATCTGTGTCTCTGTTATACCAGATGTGTGTATTGATGAGCTTATTTGATCTGACTTCATCTAAAGCAGATCTCTTAAACCATCAGAGTAGATTTTTTTTGACCTTCTATCCCCAGAATGATTTAGAATTGTGTTTTGTCAGAATCTGGTGGTTTGCTGCTCAGTGGAACTAAAATACTTCTTTCCGCGTGCCTGGCACGAGTGGCTCTGGTGCAGGACAGATCTCTGGATGTGCAGCTTGCAGGTGGTACTGAAGTTTGAGGGAGCATACAGTTGGGGTCGTGCTGCTCTTGCAGGAGACGTCTTAGGATCATCCCTTCAGATCTTCACTGTAGATTATACTCTCACTATAGTTTAATTCAGTTTGTAAAGCTGTTGTTCATGACTTTATTTCAATCTAGGACACTGCATATTTAGAATGCAATCCTTCCACCCAGAGCTCACAGTTGAGATAGTCGTTAGCCAGGCTGGTTTGCACCCAGTGGCTCAACTTTCAGATTTTTGAAGTCAGACAGCCAAAAACTTTGCAATTTATAAGTCTCTGTCAATGATGCAGGAGTTCTCCCAACTCCTAGAAGATACTTTTGCTGATTCTTTTTTTTTTTTTTTTTTTTTTTTGTGGAAGTTTACAAATAGTTTACTAATATTGTATAGCAAATGGAACATAGGGTAAGTTTAACAAGTATGTGAGAGCTTTAGCTTGATAATATCTTCTTCTGTGCTTCACCCTCTCAGGTGTAGACCTAGACCTGGCAAGAAAAGAAGAGGAGCAGCAAATGCTACAAGATGCCCGACAGTGGCTGAACAGCGGGAGAATTGAAGATATAAAGCAGCCTCGAACAGGTGCCACGGCTCTTCATGTTGCTGCGGCAAAGGGCTATTCTGAAGTCATGAGGTAGGAGCTCCTTCCCAGGGCTGGTGCGTTGAATTAAGGCTGGTTTTGGTAAGGAACACAGCTAGCTTTATAGTTCAGAGAAATTTGTTTCATACTGTGACTTTCAGGCTGTTATTTCTCAAAAATCTCTGTAGATTTATGTGCTCAACCATAGCCGTTCACCTAGAAATACATAGAGACCGGAAGATTCCCTTTCATACCTCTAGGCCTTTAAAGTGACAAAAGCTTTTCAGAGAGTGAGACATAAATTAGAAGGTTTAATTTTCACTATTAGAGTAATAATTTTAGGACTAGCAAGTTAAACACCATTAGGGGGTACAAGTATAATTTCAGCCTACAAAGTGACAATGGTAGCTGCATGACAATCACAAACACTCCAACACTTTACATGACCAGTCTAGTGGAAAAATGCAGCGTCCACCCCTCTCTCACTGTCCCTTGCTCCTTCACGCTCCTGCAGCCATCAGCAGTGACAGACGGATTCCAGCATGTTCTGCTCTTACTGCTCTGGCACTAACAAGCTTATTATGAAGATAAACTTGCCCAGTGTAGGGTTTCCTGGCAATAAAGCATTAATATTTTTACAGGTAAGGTCAAATTAAGGTTTCTAACAATAAAGCTTCCTTCTCTACTGTTTATGTGTAGATGGAGCTGCCCATAAACATCAGCAAGGTCACTATTGCCCAGGTTAAAATCCCTTCTGGAAGTCATCATCCATTTTGATCCTAAATGTCATAGTTTTAAGTGGCATGACTTGATGTGTAAGAGCTGTTTCTTATCAAGCTCTAGTAATTTCGTTGTTATCCATGTTTTCGATTTGTATTCATTCAGTAGAATTATAATTGAATTATAAGCTGTCTGTGCCTGTACCGCACCCAAGAACACTGATCTAACACAGCTTGCGTGGAATAGAAATCTCTCCTGAGTTTGAGGTGTTGGTCCTGTGGACTTTCAGAGGAGGTTTGTATATCCAGTACTCGTCAATGAAAGCTGTGTTCGCTGTGTGCAGGGTGACTGGTCCTGAGCTGTTACTCCTTGGCATTCATTGTTATAAACAGATCTCACAGAGAGCTGACGTTGTTTCACTCTTGTGTATTTTATGGCCACTCTGTAGGTTCAAATACAAAGCTTCATGACTTAAACCAAAGGGGCTGAAATCCAGGAGCTAGCTAACTCTCAAATGAGACGTGGAATTTGTCTGTGACCTTGAGTCTCTTAGCAGCTATGTTCCTCCCTTTTGCCAGCTGGAAAATCAACATAAAGTCAGCACCTAATTTAAAATTTCTTTCACAGAGAAACACACTGCTGCTATAGGATAACTGTGTTTTATTTAGCACCGTAACGCATCGGCGTAAGGGGTTTCAAAACTGTTGGTGCCATTCTGGGGTCATGTTGGATTTCCCTTGTCCTGCAGGACAGTGGAATGGATGATGGAATTTCCCACGATGAAAATTTTCAGTAGCAGTTTTACCAGACTTGCAGAATTCCCCTGGGATATTCTTCAGTATTTAAGCAACTTGGATAACAGTCAGTTTTGATACGTGAGCCACTCACGTACTTTGATCTGATTGCTGGCGTACCAGTGTGCATATGTTTGTTTGGTTTTTAAATATTCAAGCTGCAGATGCTATGAAACACTACCGCACTGGGCTGATTGAGAAGGGAGTGGGTGGAAGGTGCCCAGCAGTGAATGTGATGCAAGGGTGTTCCCAGGCAGGTTCACTTGGGTAAGATTTGCTTTAACTGCGCAAGGACTAGTCTGCAAAAATGCAGTTTGGGTTCTTTAACCCAAATGTGGGTTATTTAACTCACAAATTTCACAGCTGTCAATCACAGTGATGTCACTGCTTCTTACCTGGCAGTCCTGCTGGCATCGTCTCCTTACAGATCGTTCCTGCGGCGTGGCCTTGTTCTCTGGTGGAACCAAGACTGAGCTCCGGTTCCCAACTGTCCTGTTCATGCCAGGTGCTGTGCTCGACTCCTCGCGATAGAGACGGCAGTCTGCAGAGCTGTCGTTTCTTTGCTTAGTGCCTGAGCAAGTCTGGTGCCTCTCAGCCCTTGGGGCAGGAGTTCAGACTGGGTCACTGATGCCAGATTAGAAATTAAGGTGTTCTCCCAGTTTAGGACATGCTGAAAGGGAACCTTATCAATTAGACACATTCCAGCAGGCTTTACAGCGAAGTCACTTTTCGTTTACTGCCCTTTTCTGTATCAGTTGCAGGCGCATCAAGTGGGATGTTGCTTAGGTGAATAAACAAGCTAAGAAACTACTGGCTTATTGTGACCAATGTTACGCTGTGGTGTGAACTCCTCCGTGTCAAGAACCCATTCTCGGGTGGGCAGAAATCAATATTGCTTCTTTCCGCAGGCTCTTGATCCAGGCTGGGTTTAACTTGAACGTCCAGGACAATGACGGCTGGACTCCGCTCCATGCTGCTGCGCACTGGGGAGTGAAGGAGGCTTGCTCCATCCTGGCTGAGGCTCTGTGCGATATGGACATCAGGAACAAGCTGGTAAGTATGCACGGATCTTGGCACAACTTCGGCTGTGTATTTTGTAGCCAGGTGAATATCAACTTTATCGCCTATCACTTGATCCAAGGCCACGACAGAGTTACACGGTGAGCAGTTCTCCTAGCATGTGTGCTGGAGCATTTAAAAATGTCAGAAAATAAAGAATCTTGACTGGATGAAGCAGAAAAGATTTCAAGTATTACTGGAAAAGATGGGTGATTAAACTTTGGACCAAGATTGTAAGAAAGGATGGAGGTTAATCTGTGTCCTCCTGTTTTAGTGTAATCCTGACAAATTAAACAACAAAAAAGACAGTCTTGGAGTGCAAAATAATATGCTAATATTAAGGTATAAGGACCTGGAAACTAGTGAATCCTTGAGAAACTGGCAGCTCTAAATCTTTCCTGTTCTACTATATTGGTCATGAAAAGGGAAAGTGAAAAAATTGACTCAGATTTGTGAGAAATGAGTGAAGAAAAATAGGATGGAAGGAAAAAAAGGAGAAAAAAAAATCCTCTTCCATCCTAACAGAAGTTTTTCCTTGAAAGAGCCCCATGATTTTCAAGAGCTGACGTGTGCTTGTCCAGCGTTGTTCTTTGTGTTCCCCTCCCTGCTGCGATGCCCAGGCAGTGCCTGTGAACTGCTTCCTGCTGGGGCAGGGTCAGTTGTGCCGTGGCTGCTTCTGGGGGAGGAAATGAGGTTGCGTGTGCTTGAAACAGCACTGGGGAACGAAAGCAGGCAAGATAATTTGATAAGGGAAGTGTGGCACTGTATGGTTTAAGTGTATCTGTCTCTCTGGACGCCAATGTGCAAGAAATGGCTCTATGGAAGGAGCAGTTTTAGCGTGGTGAGCTCTTTGGCATCCAAAATACGGGGAATGTTTTCTGTCTGAAAAGTGCCATCCGGTGCTCTTCCAAAGTGTTCAGAATGCACGTGGGTTTTGTATTGTGCTTGAAAAGAAACACACACGCAGTTGTGTTTGCTGCATTACCTGCTCTTCCCAGTCGAGGATTGTTACCTTGCTAGGTCAGATGGCCAAGGAAACCCGTACTTATTTGATCACTAGCCATCAGGTTTCATTATATGTTGTTAATTAAATGGTTATTATAGCTTTAGTTACGGTGAAAATGTAACTGATTTCTTGTTTTGTGCCCCAGACTAATTTTTCTGCTTTATTTTGAAACTGCCAATGGATGTGCAAATGACTCCCACATTTTTGGGCCTGCTGATGACTGGCAGCCTTTTGGAGGTTCCAGTACACAATGATACAGTAGGACAGGTTGATCGCGTTCCTTCTCAGTATGAGAGTGTCCTTTCTAGGAACCTGGAAACTCAAATATATTAATCCTGGCTGTTAGATTTGAGCAGCAGCAATTAGGGAACTGCGTTTCATGGTTAAGGTTGCTCTGATCACGGATTGAGTCCTACCATCACTGTCGCATGGCTTTCCCTGCTCTGGGGTGACACAGAGCATCTGACTCAGCATTTGGGGAGGAAGCATGTGGAGCACGTTCACTTTTGTTCTTCACTGGTAAACAGTGCTTTTTTGAATATTAACATTATTCCATATCAGATATCCTCTTGTCTTCTCTCATTGCATCAGGGCCAGACACCATTCGACGTGGCTGATGAGGGACTAGTCGAGCATTTAGAAATGCTGCAGAAGAAACAGACTGTGGTGAGTTTCTGGCAGATCATCTTCCACCTCTCCAATTACCTTTTCACACACGGGTGTTCTCTAAGATGTATGGCATCAACAGGCACGGGAAGCTGAGGCCCAGCTATTTTTTTTATGTTAGTCATTTGGAATCTTTTAATTACACCAATATTTTTAATAGCTAGAAATCTAGAACACTGGATGACTGCATCAAGAAGGTCAGTAGTGTGCTGACATGCAGAGTTACATAAACTGGTAAGGAATGTATAGTTCACATTTGGAATTGTTATAATTCTGCAGTTGTTTTTGTTAGCTGGCAAGCTCTCTGGCATCAAACTGCGCTTTTCTTAATGAGTGATTACTCAAGTCAACTTTGTGTTTGCATCCAAGGAAATATGCTGTCAGTGTTGAGAAAGAGATGTTACCATGTCTGCTTTTCTTACAATAGGGAGACTTTTGATTGAGCGAGGAGAAATTCTAAACTTCAGGGAATTCTGGACTAAAACAATTGGTGATATTAACCATAATAAACCATACTGAACTGCCATTTCATAATGCCATAGAGATATTGGAAGGGGTTATAAGCAGAAAGTTGGCATAAAAAAGGAAAGCAAAAATATATCTTGCTCAAAGGAAAGCCGGTCGTCAAGCCAGAAAGTTGGTTTTGGATTGCATTTTTTCCTATTTCATATCATCTATTCAATTACCTCATTTGGGTGCTTCCAAAAAACAAACCAACCTTCTTTAAAAAAAAAAATAAAAAAAAAATCAGTAAGTATCATTTAAAACATGAGATTCAGAAACAGACATAATGAGAGCACTGCTGATAAAACCCAGTAAAGTATTTTGAGGAACTGACAATGTGGGTGGGAGAACTCAGGCTCTGATCATAACACAGCTGCTGTCATCCTTAAATAGCATCCGTAGCATTCACAGAAACTTTTTAAAAATTAATCAGCTTCTCCCTAAATGAGGTGTTGATAAATACTATCAGTGTTGTATTTTGGATTTCCTCCTATCTCACTACCCCAGGATGCTGCAGATAACTGCACTCCTCAGAAGAAAAAGCAATGACAAGAATTGTTTTGGATGGGTGCTAGCCAATTTTTAGGCCTGCTTCACAGGGGCTAGCAACCCCTCTTGTTCTCTGTATAGTAGCACTTATATGAAGGCCTTCTCCATGTATTAAATTAGTGTAGCAAGCTATAGTAGAACTAGGAAGAAGAGAAGAATCCAGATTTTATCACACTTTTTTTTTAGTGGATATGATTTTTTTTTAATAGAAATGCCATTTTATCATGTGTCTTTATCATGTGCCATTTTTATCACTTAGAATAGAAAATGCACATTTGTGAAGGATGAAATAGGCAGTTCCATGACATTCCTCTGAGTACATTATTTCACTTTCCAAATGGCTCTCAAATCAGATTTTTTTTAAAAATCTAAAGCTTGTAGCAGAACAATGCACCGTCCTTGCTAAAAAAAATTGCTGCTGTTATGGGAGAGAAGAGGGGATTTTGTTTGCTGGAAGCAATTCACATGATTTGGGTTTGGATTTTTTTTTCCCAATCTCTGAATTACCTGTGAGTGGAGCAGGCTGTTTCCTGCCCTTCCCTTTGCTGCGCTCCAGCAGCTTGTTCTATTTAACAACATGGTGTACCCCAAATACTGGCTCTTCACTGGACTCCATGTAGCTTTTCCTACATTCAGAATTTGCAGAGCTTTTGCTTCTTGTGCCTGGTGTCAGCTGCTATCAAAAGAGAAAGAACAATTAGGCTAGACATGACCCAAAGAGGCAGCCTTAGAAGTGAGCCTCCAATTGCCATCCCTTTTTCTACCTCAGCTGTGTCTGTGCTTCTAGAAAGTACTGAAACAAATATTTTTGGTTACTGTTTTGTCCATCAGCGGTGACAAAATTAATACTGCTGCTCTCTGGGCAAAGCATGTCAGTTGTTGCCCTGATCACAGGTATTGTTGTGCGATGACTTTGGCTGGCATTTGAGAGATTTGCGAGGTGACCCATCCTCGTGGGAGATCTGTCGGTTGCCTGTACAGGGCCTATTTGAATGCTTTCCTCTCAGAGCAAGTAAATAATAGCTACAGAAGCAGCAGATTTGAGTCCAGCCTGATTTCATGGGCGTACAAACGCACGTGGACAGACCTCCAGCACTGTGTCTGCATGGGCAGATGCAGGGCAGTATGGTGGAAGTCAGGATTTGACTCTGGATCTCAGCAGGGACTGCTGCGGACTTCTGTGAAGGTTTTATTAAATTCCAGCTTGAGTCTAAGGACGTGCTGAGTGTGTAGCTGTGCTCTTATGGAGGTCTAGTCCAAGACATCCAGTGCTCTTGTAGATGGGCATCTGTTGAATTGGCTTGTTAAACAAATCCACAGTATTTTTCATCTAATGAGGTTGGGATGACCTTATGCTGTGGTAATTATCAGATTGTGCTGAGGTGGCTTGTTAAGATGTCTCTTTTCATTCTTTCTCCAACCTACTTGGACTTTTTGACAGTTGCGAAGTGAGAAGGAGACGAGGAATAAGCTAATTGAAGCCGACATGAATGGCAAGCCTCAAAGCGGACTCTTCACCAAGTACGTTTCTTTTCTCTTCGTTGAAAAGAAGCTGTGCAGAGTGTAATGGGAGGCCAGCTTCATCTGTTAGCAGTCAGCTGGCCTCAGCTGGTTTAAAATAGTTTACTGCTGTTCATGTTCATTTCATGGTTTCTTTTAAATTTGAGCTCTCTTAAATACAATTTTAGCTGTTTCCTAACCAACCCACTGAATGGTACAATAGGGAGTTGGGCCAGTGCTTGGTTCCCCAGCTTCTGCTCTTGCCAATGATCAATTTTGGGCTGAGAACTGCATCTTTGCAGTTGCACGGAGTCGTACAGCCCAGCTGATGGGTTGTGTTGCACTAGGAAAAGTGACACCACATTTTTTTGGACCGAGAAATGCTTGCAAATTTAGGAAATGTGAGACTGGCATTGGAATCCAGTCAAATGGGCAGCGCTGGAAGTGCTGGGACGTTGAGTCTGTAGATGGATTTTGTCCTTTTGCTTGTTCTATATGTAGCAAATCATGTCTATGTGTTCCTCAGAAGTAGAACTCAGAAATAACTCGCTCACCTGGTAGTCCTTAATTTCTGTATCTTGCAGCAAGGAGAAGATTCTTTATGAGGAAGACACGCTGAAGTCCATGGAAATGGAGGAAGAGAACAAGGACTCTAGCAGTTCTAGTTCTGAAGAAGAGGAAGAAGCTGAAGAAGATGAAGTTTCAGAATCAGATGCTGAAAAGGAGTCAGGTAAGACTTAGTACAGTCTCAATTTAATAATTAGCCTAGCAATTTTAGGGGAGCAGTTTGAGAACTGCTTTTTTCTTTTTGCTTAGTTGTTAAAGACATCCTGAAAGTCTTACTTCCAGTGTGTATGTATAGAATATGGAGAACTCTGTACATAGTGCACTGAAAAATCTGATCTAAATGCTGAATCCCAAGTCAGCATAAGTTTTTAAAAAAAAAAAAAAAAAAAGCTGCAGATAGTATTTTAATTTCTACTTCCAGCTCACTTGAATTTAAGGTAACACATTGTTCGCAGGTTGTTCTTAAACAGTAGGTTTTTTTCTCGTTGGCCAGGATGAACACGTCAGTTACTGCAAGATGGTAGAAATGCAATTGAAGATGTAGGAAGGTAATAGCCTGTTGTGTTTGGATCAGAGAAATGAAACGAAAGGCTGAAGCTGTTCTGTGTAATTGTGGAGATGAGGAACTTTTTTCTGACACGTATAATAATTGCAGAACATAGTGGAAAATAAGGATTAAGTACATCGAGTCATGTTAGCCTTTACATTATAGCATATTGCTGCCATCCTACTTCCTATGTATCAGTCTCATTCTTTTTCCATAAATTCTAAGGCTTCCTTAATTAGTTTAAACAGCATGTATGTACAGCACAGAAAGTTTAAATAAAGCTACTTAATTTTACAGTAAGCCAAGACTTACCTGTACTTAATTTTTCTGCAGAGAGAGATGGATCTTGGGCTATGATGTGTTAAATGGTTAAACTACTTTTAACATCAGCTTACTTGGCCTATATCCCAATATACTAATAAATAAGTCCTTACAGAGAAGTGTATTTTGAAGTTTTATCCTGCTTCTTGTGCCATTAAAATTGTCACCTGCGTTCCAGTTGTATCAATTACGATGTTTATCGCAGCATGAGAAGTGTTGAGAATCCTGGCTGGTCTTTGCAGAGCTGGTAGTTACAGAAGCTGTTTGGGTATGACAGTATCACGCTGAAATAATGTTTTGGCTTTTAAATCAAGCAAATGTAGTGGAGAAGTCAGTGGTAGAAACAGGCATGCAGTAGAAGTCACATTTATTTGCTCGATGAATCAGGGTTTTACTAGACAGCAGCCCCGTATAGCTATGGGCCAGTTCTTGTGAACATGGTAGGAACTTGACCTCTAACGTACATATAGCTATAAGAAGTAGAGCCACGTGGTGTTTAACTGATTTGGGAACAGCAAGGAAAGTGCTGCAGCACTCAGCATTACATTTTGTGTCTTTTTATTGAATTAATTCACTGAGCCAAGCCCGTTATACTAATCTATTTCGAACCACTAAAGCTAAAACAAATTGAAGACAAAAAGCATTCAAGTAATGATTAAGCATCAAGCTTCAGGCTTTGTTACCTGTGCACTCCTTTCCGAGAGAAGTTATTAGCTCCTTTGAGAAATTTCAATCGGAATTGAAACCTTACCTTGTAAACTTCTCAAATCTCTAATAAAATGAACATGGAATTGGCCAGTTGGATGTAGACATAGTCGTCGGTTGTTGTGAATGGGGCGTGCATTTTCGGAACTCAGGGTTCAGGAGATAACAACATCAGCCCACATGGAATAGGAGGACTCCAAAGAGAAGTAGGGATGAAAATAGCTTTTCATAGAAAATTCTAAATGTCACAGTATTACTAGTTTCAAACACAATCGTAAGAACAATTATGCTTTATTATCTGCTAGACATTTTAAATGCTTGGATGGATATAGGAGACATGGTTTTGAAAACATGGAAATTATTTCCTTGTTACTCTTAATTTTCTTCTGAGATTTAATATTCACATTATTTTGTAAGTCTAAGGAGTCCTGGACAGATAGAAGATGACTGTTGTCCTAAAGTGTTCAAAGTCCAGATGAAGGAAAAAAAAAAAGCCAAAATATTGTTATGAGTGATCTTTTTAAATTAAAAAAACCCAAAACTCCTTTGGTAACTGAGCATAAGGCAGGACAAAGTAGAAGCTGGCAGTATAATACAGAAATTTATTTTGAGGTATGTTTTGAAGGCTCTCAGGTTGTGATAAATTTGTGGAATTTGCAGAGACTGTGGGAGGAGAAGAAATTTCAAGAGGTGAGCAGTGAAATTGTTGGAGTGCTTCAGGGAATACCACGTTTCTTACGATCTGTAAGAAATATGTGTTCTTCAAACAAAAGAAGCTAATTGCAGTAATGTCATTTTATTCATCTTGAGGACAATTAACAATTTGGCATTGGGTTGTATATAAAAAAGAGAAAGATCAGTATAAAATTCCATGGTCGTTATCTGTGCTGGTAGCTATTATGATAGGTAATTATTGTGAATTAAAGCAGGCCAGGGAAACTTTCAATGTTTAAAAAACCAAACCAAAACAAAAAAAGAAAGTCCCCAAAAAACCCTTAAAAAAAATGACATTTATGCCAAATTCGAGAACTAAATTTTCAGTCTCACCAAATTTGTGTTGGGGAGATTGAGCTAATCCTGACCTGTTTGCCTTGATTGGATTTTATGATGTTTACTGCTGAAATTTTAGTAAAATAAAATGTGGGATCCTCCCCTGTGGACAACGATGCCTGTGGTCGTGCAGTCTCACGCTGCCGGTACAAAGTCCTTTTGCCTGTCCTTCTCCTTTTGGTCACATTGCTCACTGTTAGAGTTCTTGCCAACCTGTCATTACCACTTAAGCTTGTGCCCTTATAATTAGGCTTGACCTTAAAAGTTGACCCGTGTACTACAGAGTTCCCGAACGGGCTCCCAGTCACCGTCTAGCCCAGCCTGTAAAGCCTGCTGGCTCTCTGGCCAGGTCTCTTCTCCCCTTCCTGCAATGTCGAGGATTCTCGTGTGTTTTACAGGCTTTATCCTCAAGAAATCGGCAAATGGCAAGCATGTAATTTTTTTTGTCTGCGTGGATTTCCACAGCCTGCTGAAGGCCGAGTCAGGGCTGCAAGGAGCAATGGGTAACCTGCTGCCCCTTCCTAAAAGAGCTGTTTGGATGGGGAACGCACCTGCGCGTTAGGCTCAGGAAATGCAACGCTCTGTTTAGGTGACTTTGGAAGTTCTGAGAAAACACAAAGCGAGGGAAAGGTGGCTGAGACTTCAATATCATGCACACCTTCCTAGGGGAGGTGCATCTTTGTCTCTAATTCTGGATCTGTTAGTCCTGCTAACTGCCTGTTGTTTGTAAATGTTTCTCTTGGCTTGCTCTTTTCTGTTTTCCGTGTCCTTTGAATCCTGTATTCTAGGAGTGAGAACATTTGTTTCAGAAAGACTGATCTTCATGCTCCAAGGTGCCGTCCTCGCAGATGCTCCGTACCAAACCACTTTTTATATGTAATAGAAAGTCTTTGTTCACTGCACGTACCTCATTTGCTGGTGCTGTTTGGGTGGTTACACTTAAAATGACTTTGTTTTTTCAAAACCATGACTCTGTGAGGCACTCATAGCTGCAAGAGGAGAACGTTGTTTCGTTGGTGTAGGTGCATCATTTCTCAGGCACCTTGCATGCGGCTGTGTTTGGTAAATAGTCTGTCGTAGAGCCCTGTGCACTCCGGTCAATTGGACCTATTACATGAGACATAGTTTCTGCTTACTCTCCCCTGGTAATCTCTGGTGGATGTTCTTATGTCAAGCATGGGGCATATATTAAAAAAAAAAAAAAAAAATAGTACTGGAGGATTGCACTTGTCTAACAAGCAGGGAGCCAGCTGTGAGCTGTGCTCGTGTTGCCTTAGCTTGCTTTGAGTCCTGTTAAAGATTTTTTTTGTTGGGAATCAGTCCTAGCTTTGTGTAGAAAAAAATGGTTTTGCTGTAGAAGACCAGAAATTCTGCTCGCCGACATAAGCAACTGCAGCAGAACCATGCACTGAAATCCACCACCAGGGCCACTCGGGACGTGTGCTCTGATGCGTCCTCCTGTACGATAGCAGGAACGGCACGTTCTGCCTTTCTTCCTGAGTGTTACAAGGGAAGAACAGTCCCTGAAACAAAGTTGTGAATAAAAAAATCTGTTTGTTTTCCATAAGGTGCTTTCTGCAAAGATTTTGCTTGTCTGTGGGGGTGAAGTTCAAAAGCTTTGCCTGGCAAATGTCTCCATTTTTTTTAGTAAGTAGAGAGCCTCCTTGCTGAAAGCCCTGGTTAGCCTTGGCACTGACATCATCTTTACAATTTAAGGCATACCAAGGTCACAGCAACTCTGAACTCAAGTTAGCGCACACTGTGCTTGTAAAGAAGGGCCTTGGAAGTGCAATACTGAAACACTTGGTTTCTCTTCTTGTTTAAAATTGTAGAAAGGAAGGAAGAGCCCTTTGCCAACCACTCCAGCCATGAAACCAGGCCTAGCATCACTGAGCAAATACCACCACCCGAGCCCAACTCCTTCACTGCATCTACCAGAAGAGTAAGTGAATTTGGAATCAATGGGGACTCCAGCAGAGCTTGAAAGCAGTAGGTTCTTCTGGGAAATGGGTGCTCTGAAACTGATTTTCAGAGGAGTTGTAAGATGTGAATTTAGGAAAGCATGATAGTATGCAATTTTGATAAAGATGCCGTGTTAACAACAGCGTAGGACTGGCACAGAGGAGAATGTTTGTACGATAAGGTTCCTCTTGAATCTCTTACCCTCTGAAGCAAATTGCGCTGTTGACAGGAGAGACCCTGACTACCGCAAGTGCTTTGTGTCGCTGTCAGCTCTGAGATAGTCGGTGCCAATCTCTTACCAGCAGGAGATCTTTCACCAAAGCTGGTTCAAATTTGGCATCATCATCTAAAGTGCCTCCGACTTGCCAAACTCCATTGGTTCACTGGCATGATGTTACGGCCAGAGGATGAAGTTTGCATCTGACTAGATAACTAGGCTATGTAAGCTTTTTAAAGGTGAAGTAGAGTTACTGAAATCTTATCTGAATTCTCCAGCTCTCACGTCACTCAGCTAGATGGCACCAGGAGACCCTGTGTTCTGCTGAGGACTGGTGTCTTAGGCTTCTGGTTTCTTTTTGCACCAGAATACAGAAGACAGCTATACAATGCAGGCACTTTGCAAAGGTCTGAAGCACTAGGTAGATGTTAGAGGGAACACGTTTCTTGCTTAACATGGGTTTTTTTATTTTTGACGTGCTGCTCAGTCTAATTTCTCGTCCAGATCAAATGAAATAGAGCTCCTCTGGGCATTGTTCAACTCGGGCTGACTTGGCAGGGGAAGTATTAAAGGTAGAAGGATACCGGAAAGTGTGAGCACTTCACCTTTTCCCAGCTGCAGAGTATTGTTCTCACTTACTTGAGCTGTTTAACCCAGAATAAGGCTGTTAGGGTATAGAAGAGGATCTATGTGCAAAGCTGTTATTAATTTGAGCTCAATCACTCAAGATCAGCTACTTTACCTCTTCTTACATGTTTGATTCTTCCGTAACTCTCTTTGTCATATTGGGTTTTATATGAGTGCTTGTGTTGCCCTCCATTTGTGGAGTTATTAGTATTTGCTGTTCCTGTGTTCAGAAATTACAGAAGGCAGCTTTTACTGTGGATTTGAGCTTTCTCTGAGGAAAGTGTCAAAACTACATTAAAGTGTTAGAGCTCAGTAGACTGGAAGTGTTAGGATTAGTGGAGTACAGTGATTAACTCTGTGCATCTGCATTAAAATAACATTAGCTAAGAAACACTGCTAAAATACTGCAGTGGTAGTTTTACCTTTGCAGTCTTGATTCAATGAGTTAGAGGGCAGAGCTCCCCAGTAGCTTCATTTATTCTGGATAGTGTCGGATGTTTTGTGTTATGTAGAATATGGTATAATAATGCTTGTATCAGCTTTGACCAAAAGCCTTGTCTACCCAGAATCCTGCCCTTGACAGTGACCATCAGAAGATACTAGGGAAGACAGAATCTAGCTGGACTGCTCTCCGCTTTCTAGCGATTTGCATTTCAGGGACTGGCTGAACCTGTGCTATTTTTTGTATTCAGTACCCCCAGTTAGACTTTTTCTCTATGAATTTACGTGGTCGCTTTTTGAGTGCCCATGATGTTTGGGATCCTATAATGTCCAGTGGCAAAGGGTTCTTCAGCTTCATTACATATTGTACAGAGCTTCCCACGCCTGTTTCTTTAAGCCTGCCAGAGGCTGGTTTTGTTTGCTGCCCCTACTTCCTTTAGGGGAAGGAACAAGGAATAATTGATCCTTATTCACCCTTCTGTGTGCCACTGAGGGTTTTGTGTCTCTTGGTCATATCTCAGCCTGGAGACTCCTGATACACTGAGTAACTCTTCACACAAAAGCTGTCTTGCTCTACTTGTTCTTGTTGCTTTTCTCTGAATCTCCTCCTCACCTTCTTCTATGCTGCTTTTGAGCTGTGGAGCCGAGCTGTGCGTGATAGCAAAGGTGTCATCATACCCTGCAGTAACACAGAGGCGTAGTGGTGTTGTGTTTCATATTCTATTCTTTTCCAATCATTCCTAATGTTTTGTTTGCTTTATTTCCTATACAACTTGGTGTTGAGCCCCTGTCTTTGTAGAATTCTCTCTGGTGGTGCCCAGGCTCCATTCCTGAATGGCAGTAGGCATCTTTTTGTAAGTATAACTAAAGTTGTACATTTAAGCAGTTGTATACTTGAGGAATAACATATGCTTGTCAGAAGTGCGTCATGTAACAAAAAGCACTAAGGTCCATTCTGTAGCGTGCATAGAACATGCAGTTACCTGACTGTAGAAAGGCTTAAGCTGGAACAGGCCTCTGCAAGCGTGTAGTCCAACCTCTTGCTCGAAGCAGGGCCAGCTTCAAGCCTATGCCATGTTGCTCTGAAGTACTTGAGCTCAGCTGAGTATTGAAAAGTCTCTGAGGATGGAGATGTCCCACTCTCTTGCTCCCTGTCCCAGCGCAGCATCGCTCCTACCAGGAGGTATGTCTTCCTTCATGTCATTTGGGATTTCCCATGTTCAAACTTGTGTCTGTTCCTCCTTTTCCTTTTGCTGTAGGCTGTTGAGAAGTCTGGTTCCATATCCTCTGTGAACTCCCCCCCAAGTAGTAAAGCAATTAAATCCTTTCTTTGACTTCCCTTTTCCATGCTGAACAAGCCAGATTTCCTCAGTCTCTCCCTTTACGTGTTGTGCGCTCCAGCTCCTTGATGATCTTCACAGAATATCCTGAGTTGGAAGGGACCCATAGGGATCATCGAGTCCAACTCCTGGCTCCATACAGGACCAGCCAAATCAGACCATATGACTGAGAGCATTATTCGGATGCTTCTTGAACTCAGTCAAGCTCGGTGCTGTGACCACTTCCTTGGGGAGCCTGTTCCAGTGCCCAACCACCCTCTCGGTGAAGAACCTTTTCCTGATATCCAACCTAAACCTCCCCCATCGCAGCTTTGTGCCGTTCCCTCGGGTTCTATCACTGCTCACCAGAGGGAGGAGATCAGCGCCTGCCCCTTCGCTCCCCTCGTGAGGAAGCTGTAGGCTGCGATGAGGTCTGCCCTCAGTCTCCTTTTCTCTAGGCTGAACAAACCAAGGGACTTCAGCCTCTCCTCATACATCTTCCCCTCTAGAACCTTCACCATCTTTGTTGCCCTCCTTTGGGCACTCTCCAATAGTTGTATGTCCTTTTTGTACTGTGGTGTCCAAAACTGCACGCAGTACTCAAGGTGAGGCCGCCCCAGCGCAGGGTGGGACAATCCCTTCCCTAGACGGGGCTGGCAATGCCGTGCTTGATGCACCCCAGGATACGGTTGGCCTTCCTGGCAGTTTGGGCACACTGCTGACTCTTAATGGCTTCTCCTGGCCTCTGTCCAGTGTGATCTGTGTAAGGGTTTTATTTGTGGCTAGTCCCAAAGGAGTCAATTACTTTTTTTTGGGTTTCTGCCTTTTTTTGAATACTTCTCCCTCCTTAAACAGGTGCTAATAAAAGCTTCGTTGTTCCTTATATTCTTTCTGCAAAGCTGGAGGGCATTGTGTAGGCAAAGGGAGCTGCACAATGACACAAGACTTCTTTTGTCATCTGTCCTTGGGGATGAGGGCACCTCAGCAGTTTGCATCCCCGTGAGTTCACCTTGAGCTATGTCGTGTAATTAAAGCTAAGCAGGAAATCAAAGTGACACCATACTACGTTTACAAGTGTAGCCCAGCAAAAATTTGGGCTTGTTGAAACGTTTTCAGAACTTAGATTGTGCCTTGCGGTGCTCTTACTTCTTCCAAATGTCCCTTTTTCTCTTCTCCAGTTCAGTTGGCTCAGCAAGGCAGACGAGCAGAAGGATGAGTCACCTTCATCGTGGCGGCTGGGACTACGGAAGACAGGCAGTCACAACATGTTGAGTGAAGTCGCTGCTACTCGTGAGGGGCAGAGAGATAAGACTTCTATCTATCGTTCTTCATCAAGTCCTCGGATATCTGCGTTATTAGACAACAAAGAAAAGGTTTGGCTTTCAGCAAAGATGTTTGAGCAGACTTTGCCTTACAGGTTTAAGACCCTTTCCCTTTTGTTTTGAGTTATTGCTGGGTTTTGTATCCATAACAAACTTAGGCCTCTCTCATTCTCTCTTCTTTTTTTCTTTTGAAAATTATTCCTACCCTATCAGTTGTCCTTGCAGAACTGAAGTTTGATGCCCCTTTGGCCTAAATCCTGCTCCGTTTGGAGTGGGCTGCCAGTGAACAAGGACTGCCGGTCTGGCACGGCCCATTCTTGACCAGAAAATATCTAAGCCAGACAGTAGCACATCCTGCAGTGGCGATTCTCCTTCACTGTCATCTGTATGGATTCCTCCTGTATCCACCAGCTGTAGTCGTGACTCCCATCCCGCACACTCACTGGCTGTAACTTTGCTGCCCAGGGTAAATGCCTCATCCCTGGAAACACTCAAGGGCAGGGTGGACAGGGTTCTGAGCAACCTGATCTAGTTGAAGATGTCCCTGCTTGTTGCAGAGCGTTGGACTAGGTGACCTTGAAAAGTCCCTTCCAACCCAAACTATTCTATGATCCTATGATTTATAAGTAGTTCTGGTTAGAAGCTGCTTTTATTCACTAGCGTGCTCTTCAGGAAATCCTTTTCAGAACTGATGCTGTTATGCTGTGGTATGTGTTGCCCAAGAAAATGCCTTGAACCAGTTGTCCTTAGACAGGAAAATGCTTTCTTAGTTGAAGAAATTTGAACATGAATTTAGTTGTCACAGAACGTGCTGGAAGTGTAACAGACATGCAACTGAAGTACTTGTTCTGCTTCACCAGGATAAAGACAACAAGAACTATCTTGCCACAATAGCGCCCAGAAGACTAAGCAGTACGAGTGATATAGAAGAAAAAGAAAACAGGTGAGACTGAACTTAACGCTCCACTTCTGTTCTGGCGATAGTTCCTCCGGAATACCTTTTTTCTATATTCATGCTTCATGTATTTTCTCAGCATTCGCAAGTACACAGGAATTCACAATATCAAGAGCGCTCTCTGATCTATAAAAGTTCTGGTACGTGTCTTTTCATTTAGGTGAGCAGGGCAACAGGCTGGTTTCTTCCCCCTGAATTCACATACGTATGGTATCCATCCAGGAAACTAGATTTATGCCTATTTTTTTTCTTTTATATGCAAGGTGCCTCATTTTGTAGCTGGCACCTACTCTTGTACTTGTGTCACTTGCTCAGTAGTCACCTTTGGTCCCTTTGACAGTCAAACAGCTGTCACTGTTTGACTCACTTGAGTCTGTGAACTCTCTCGTGTATGGACCTGTTTCCGTCACAGTGAAATCGGTGAATCTGTGCAGTTGCCCCTGGACGGAATCACAGTATAAATGGGATAAATATCTAGTCTCTCAAGATATAGTTGAGGAGCTAATCTCTGCACGCAGGTTCTGCACGGTTTGTGCTAGGAGGAGTAACATTTGAGCTCAGCCTCATTTCCAGCCACTTCCACGGTCCCGGTAGAAAGGCACATACAGAGAAGTCATTGTGAACTGTAATTGTTGTGAAGAAGTCATGGCAGATGACCACCCTGAGAGAATTTCAGCACGGTTTCAGATTCTTTGCTGATCTTTTGCTGGCACTTCCCCGCTGCGTTCTTGCTTAATCTCAGCCAGTCAGTGTGATTTGGAGTTTAGCAGACAGTTTGTGTCTGCTGATAAGCTGGAGCGGTTTTGGCAGTGGCTGGGATTGAGTGGCACATCCAGCTGACTGCTGCTAAGTGTCCTTTGCTTGGGGAAGTAGGGAATGAGGAGAACTGGCCTGCATGAACAGATGGTGCCCAGATGTACTGTGTAGTACTGATTTTTCCCGATATTCTTTCCTTTCAAAACAGCTGAGTTTTACCTCACAGAACCCACAGGTGTCTGAAAGAGGCATCAGCATGGACATGGCAATTGCAAATTGAAAAATTAAAAATAATTGCAGGCTGACGAGGGAATGGATTTGTGTTGTGTTACTAGCTCGAGGTCGTGTCCAAGACCAGAAAAGAATAGGACGTGTGTGTATTAGGAAAAGGAGCCCTGATTTCAGATTACTATGATAAACAGGACTACTAGTAATTTATTGATAATTTGTCACGTAGTTTTAGATTTTGCCAAATATTTTGTTTGTTGTTTTCTGCTGCTAAGTATAGCAAAGGATTTGCCGTACTGAATTGCTTTACTGTCATTGCCTGGATACCTCAGAGAATAAAAACTTCCCCTGCAGTTGCAATATCTGTCTATTTATGTAATGTTGTTTGATAGAGGGTGGCAGAGAGAATATCAAATGATGTTATTTAATGTTAAATTACTTTTATGGACAATCTAAATTTCAATTGCAAGTTTTCTGACTAAAAAGGATCTTGTTCCTCTTTAAGCAAGACATTACATCCTCTGGTGGTTCTTAAGTAATCCAGCTGGCAGTAACACAGACTGATGGTGAGGCCAGAAGAGGTGGTTCAGTGAGTTGTCTCACCTGTGAGCAGCAGTGCATGTAGGTGTAAGGAATTATTTGTGTTCTGGAACCATAAAGGAGCCGAAAGCAGACTCCAAAAGTTTTTTCCAAACAAACCCTGTGCTCTCTCCTGCTTTAGAGAATCAGCTGTTAACCTGGTGCGGAGCGGCTCCTACACCCGGCAGCCGTGGAGGGATGAATCAAAGGGAAACGAAGCTCCCCATTCGGGTGCGCCTACTACCTACGTATCTACTTACTTGAAAAGGTATGTCCAGTTTGTCTTACACGGATTCCCAGGCAGTCAGATCTGCTCTTAACGCACCTCCCACACTTCAGCCTTCTGCTTGCTGCTTACTGCATCGGTGTAACTGGCCTTGGGACCCTCTTCTGCTGAGAGCAGGAAATAAAAATTAAGATTTGCTGCCATTTGTCACGCTAAATAGTATTTTTAAAGGCCATTATTTTTGTTGATTTGTAAAGTGCTGAACTGAATTTAAACACTCTTGTTCACATAATTCAAATGCAAAGTGTTTTCTGAGTTTTATGCTAGTATTATGGTTAGATAATAAAACAAAAATTGATCATAAAAAGAGAATAAAGTAGTTACAGTCTGAAAGCATTGTTCAAATAGATATTGACAGGTAAGTCATAGCTCATTTCTAATTTTGGTTTATATTAGTCCATGTTTATGGCATCATTATCAGAAAAGTGACAGAGTTCTTGTGCATGACTTACAGCACTTGCTACCGAGTAAGACTGATGTCGCCAACCATTTTCTTATGGCAGTAAGGAAGCAGTTTCTACACAGTGTATGTGAAATTTTAGAGGCTGATTGCTGGTAAGCTAGGCAGGCGGAATCAGGAAGGCAATCCTGTGCGTAACTTCTTTAATTGGCAGTATCTTTTACCCCTTTGGAAGGCAGAGACCCAGTTTCTTTGAAGTACCATGGCTGTCTCTGAATGAGGTGAATGAATGCCCTGCTCTGTTAACGCAAATAATCCGTTACTGGGTTTTCATCTCAGTGGTGAGAAAGAGCAACAGCCCTTTGTACAGAGTACAGTTCCATCACCTCACCTTTATTTTAGCTAATGCCGAAAACCATCAAAACAGCACGTGAAAAAAGCAGAAATACTTCAAGGTTTTAGATTGTGTTTCACCAAATTCTAGACCCTGAACAAAATAAGTGTCCTGAAGATGGAACAATTGCTTGAGGTATCTGGGGAGAGGCGGATTTTTTGTGTTCTAGGACTTAGGTTGGTAGAGGTAAGTTGTGCTCGAGGATGTGTCTGTCCAATTGCCGAGCATGTACAGTCCCATTTCCACAAAAGGTGAAACAGCCACGTCCAGCAGTAGACTTCTTCTGATCTGCTGATCCGTTCCGGTGACTTCACATCTATCCTGGGACATGATGACAGGCCAACCTCCATAGCTCGTCTCTCTAAAGGCAGTCCAACAAGCCGCAGCTGATTACATTGGAAAAATTTTGCCTCTTGCAGCTGGTGTGCCTTACTGTTCCCTAGTCTGAGAGACAGTCCAGTCATTCACATGGCTGTCCATTGAAATTTTACAAACATTGCCTGTTTATCTCAGCTAATCCAAACCCAGACTTAGTATTACATTTGCAGAGTTGTACTGTATTTTCTTGGTTAAACTATACAGAGACCAGTGAAGGTTTTGGCTTGCAGAGGTATTTTGCTAATACCGATTTCTTGTCACAAAGGCTGAATTCTGGCCTTTCATGGGAGAGTGTTGGTTTACAGCAATTACAGAGAATAGCTTTGCCAGGTAGGAATAAAGTGTACTTTTTTAAAAGAGATCAATGATTTTGCATTTTAAGTACGAATAGTAAAATCATGATCAATTTGGCATCTATCACACGGTTTTCTACAGGAGAGCACAGAGAAATTAAATAAAGAGTCGTTATAGAATCCCACATTGGTTTGGTTAAGAAGGGACCTCAAAGCCCATCTAGTTCCAACCTCCCATCCATGGGCAGGGACACCCTCCACTAGCCCAGGTTGCCCAAAGCCCCATCCAACCTGGCCTTGAACACTGCCAGGGAGCCAGGGGCAGCCACAGCTTCTCTGGGCAACCTGTGCCAGGGCCTCAGCACCCTCACAGGGAAGGATTTCTGCCTCACATCTAGTCTAAATCTCCCCTCTTTTAGTTTAAACCCACTCCCCCTTGGCCTGTCACTCCCTGCCCTTGTCACCAGCCCCTCTCCAGCTTTCCTGGAGCCCCTTTAGGGACTGGAAGGGGCTCTAGGGTCTCCCCGAAGGCTCTCTTCTCCAGGCTGAACAACCCCAACTCTCTCAGCCTGTCTCCATAGCAGAGGTGCTCCAGCCCTCGGATCATCTCTGTGGCCTCCTCTGGACTCACTCCAACAGCTCCGTGTCCTTCTTGTCCTGGGGACCCCCGAGCTGGACGCAGCACTGCAGGGGGGTCTCACCAGAGCGGAGCAGAGGGGCAGAATCCCCTCCCTCGACCTGCTGGTCACGCTGCTGGGGATGCAGCCCTTATCAAACCTCTGATTTCTCCCAGCCTTGTGCATCAGCCTCTAAGACAAGGAAGGGAACCTGGTTGGCTGTTAAGGGTAAAGCTCTTTGTCATTTCCAAGTATTAACAAAACTCTGAACACAACTCCGAAAGATAAAAGCTCGTTCTGAGAGAGGAAGAATAAAAGTGAACATGACATACCTGGATATTACTGAGCAGATGACTTCTGTACATCTGCATTTCTCCTTCACCTTAGCATTTAATTAATCTCCATAAAGATGCCTAGTTATGTTCTATAAATGCTTTATATGACCCCCCAAATAAAGAGTAAACAACAGCAATAAATCACCTTAAGATGTTGAAAATGGCTTTTCTTCTAAAAGGGAACAAAATAACTTGCAGCAATGTTGCAAGTGTTCTTCAGCTTTAGTTGAAGCAAATGTTAAAGCTCTCTCTGTAATGGCAGTGACTGTCATTCATCCGCTTTCTGTATGAGTGTACCACTAGCCCAAAAATTCCCAGAACCTTGTGTGTTCTCTGTTTTAATGCATATTGGCCTTCAGACAGCCGGTTCACTTCGCCTGTATATTAAAGGATTTGGAGGAACACTGGCACAGCAGATTGAATTAATTCAGCATCCTTCCTTTGACATCACCCGTAAGTGATGCCTCACGGGAAGGGATCACACACACCAGAACGAAATCACTTTGTCATACAGTTAGCTTCTCCTTCATTTTACATATTTGCACCTATGCCCTCTTACTGGTTTTGTTCATATAAAAACCATCACAGGGAGTCAGGCCAGCAGTCCATGCAGACTGTTTCTGACAGCAACTGGTTTAGAAGGACAAGTTGCAAAGGCTGGGAGAACTTGAGAGCACTCTTCCACCTCCCACACTCTCCTTGCTTCCAGCAATCGGGAATGTCGGAGCCAGGGGTTATACTTAACCATTGTTCTTAATAGCCACCGCTGTGGGCAGCTTCCATCAGCAAATCCGATTTTGATCTCTGCCACACCCCATGGCAGTGTGTTAAAATAGTTACGTGTTTTGTGCAAACCTTTTTTATTACTATATGTGGAAACTTTTTAAGGTTTTTAAAATTTTGAATTCTACTTGCCTTAGCTGTTTTCGGAAGTATTTCTTTTTATTGATTTGAAATGTTGCTTTCCGTTTCATTGCTCATTCCCTGATGGTTATGTTATGGTGATTATGTTAGGGAACAAGTAGCAGTGTGCTGGTGCCATTTTTTATTTCTAATGTTGAATTCTTGAGCATAAATTCATAATCATCCCTTTTACAGATTCATATGAACACAGCTGTTAATTAACAAGACTCCTCGGCTAACCTTTTTCTTGCAATTTTCTGGTCCTGTTCAAACCCAACGTGAACAATTGAATAACTGCCTTAGAGTCCCCCTCAGACTGTGCAGTGCCACCCATGGGGGTGACAGGGTGGGGAGGTGAACCCCTGCGGGGCTGGCAATGCCTCGGCTCCCTTCTTGCGAGCAGGAGTGTGCGCGCGGTGCCCCGGCACTACATTTCTCTGACCTAGGACGCGTGGATGTAGGAGCTGCCCAACGCACTCACCGTGCTCTTTTCCCCCGTTCCTCCTCCTCCCTCCCCTCTCGGCTCCCCCACACCTCTGCTCTCCCAGGCACCTGGTGCTGCTTCCATCCTCTTGTCTCCCCTTTTCACCCATTACCTTTCGTTTCTGCAAGACTGTCCTTATCAGGTCTTACTTTATAACCCTCCCACGTCCTCCCTTCCTGACTAGGTTCCTTCTCTTTTTTGCAGCCACCCCTCGTGCCCAGCCTCTCTGCCTTGGGCTCTCCTAGGATGGTGCCACATCAACCCTGCTCCCCCCCAGGGCTGCCGCCACCTTTTCCCCTGCCGCTCCCCTTGTTCCTTCCCCTGCGCACACTCCACTCTCCTCATCGCCTCAGTACACTCATTTCTGCGACTTCACGGCTGCTTGCTCTGCGCGCCCGCACCAGCCAGGCTGAGCTCCCTGCTCTCACCCTGCTCCCAGCCCGTCTCCAGGGCTCGGCCTTTTCCTCTGGTGCAGAGAGCCAAGAAGGGAGGCACTTGCTTCCCACAGCACTTCCTGCTCCCCAGGGCTCCGGGCAGGGGCCGGCTTTCCAGAGAAAGCTTTGTTTAGGGTCCGGTGGAGGTTGCTACCTGGTGACAATAACTTGCTTGTTCCCTTGTGACCTGGACGTGGCAAGCAGCCATTGACTGAAGAGCCCAAATGTAAGGTTCCTCCCTGTGGAGGCCTTCCAGGATGCCCGTGCTCTCCTTTGGCTGTCTAGGGACCAGCTGCTTGTCCTGGGCTGGCTGTGGGCCTTGGCATATCAAACTGATTTGGAAGTTGGGTGCCTGAGTGAATTGGACTGGATCCTTCCTCCGACCTCCCGTCCTTGGCTGTTGTCCTGACCCTTTCAAGTTTTATTTCAGCCTTGGGCCGCTCTCTCCAACTCTTGCTCTCGTGTTGACTTCCAGTTCCAGTCTGTTGGCCCTGGCTTTCCCATAAACCTGCAGGTCTTTGTCCCGGTCTGCTTTTCCTCTAGGTCAGCTTTTATTCCTGGTGCAACCACTTTTCTCCGTGTGAACTGGCATGGGAGTTTTTTGGATGCAGGAGGTGAGAGGCAGCCTTCCAGCCTTTAATCCTGCAGACAGCCCAGTCTGACCAGTAGCAACCAGGAATACCAGTTGCTGGGAAAGGTGTGGCAGGGCCCTACATCATGCATGCATGCTCATTTGCTCTGTGCAGACAACGAGCAGCCTGTTTACGGGGCTCTGGCACATGCACTAAGATCAAGTCTGGTTTTAGAGGTGTGCAACTTCTCCCACGTAGGGTAGATTTTCTCTGAAAAAGCGCAAGACTACATCCTCGTATGAGAGCCCTTCTCCTTCTGTCTCTTCTCCAAAGTATGAGCACTTAAACACTTACAGCTTTTTTGTAGTAATGGTTTTAAGGGTTTTGTTTTAAACTGGCAAAATGTGCATTTCCCCTTCTCGTTCTTGAGTATTTTTTGGATAGTTTTGCTAGCTATTTTCCAGAAATACAGAGTTTGTGCCAAACATGCCTTAAAGAAAATTAAAGTCTGAACTGATCATCTTTGCCAAAGCTTTAAGCCACTGAAAACAAGTTCTTAAAACTGGAAGTCCTGGGCATCCTTAGGAGGTGATGCAGCCAGACCTGCTTATGTCACTCTCTCCTTCCCTGCTTTAAGCAACCTCATCCTTGCTCACTGTTTCTACCTCTCCCCAGTGCACAGGGGTGCTCTGTGTGTGCTGCTTTCACTGCCATCAGGTTTTTCCCTTCCCTGTTCTTCACCGATTCACCTCCACGCTGTTCTTCTCTCAAGAAACTGAGCTGGGCTTAGCTAAGAGGGGCGCTGCTAGCGCTAGCCTGCCTGAGTGACCTGCAGCAACTCCAGCATACTCTAATCTCCTTGCATACGTTTCGCTAAGATGTAATACTTGCTCCCTTCCCACTGAGAGCCCAGCTGTGGTGAATGTTCTGTTGAATATTTACTGTGCTCTGAAGGACGTGATTTTGTGATGTTTTACAGTGCTTCATTTGGTAGAAGTAGTGACCTCAGCAGTCCCTACATTTCAGCCAGTCGCAATACATCTCTAGCTACCTCACCCACTACCATTGGTTCATCTACCTCACTGGGCACCCCGTGGCAACCTGTCTCTTCCTGTCCCACATCTCTCGGTGCGAACACTACTGCATCAGCCCGCCAGTATACCAGGTAACGGCTCACAGCTGAGATAACGCTGCAGAAATCAGCATTTGGGTTGGAAGTTCTGAATTCCGGAGTGGATGATGGATTGGAAGTGCGCTTCCATGCGGGAAGCGCTGCTAAGAAATCCCAGAACGGTTACGTTGGACAGTTTCAGTCGTACGTAAGCACCAGCAGGCAGTTAACAGCCCGTATGTGACCGTAGCTTCTTCGCGCGCTGGAGAGGCCAGTTGTGCCCTCTTGCTGCCCTGTTAGAGACACGACGTGTTGCTCAGGCTGCCCTTGGGCGTGCAGTGTACGTGGGCTTGGAGCTCTTGCCTTCTGCTTGTTCACCAGGTACATTTTCTAATCATTTTTGCTACAAACAGGGATGTGAAGACTGAATTCCTCCTGCTTATTCTTCTACAAGTTTTTAAAAGCTCATTTTAATGTGTGCTGTTCTCTACGAAATCTAGAATGAGTCTAGAATGAGGAGAATGAACTGTCAGTGCTCCCTCAAGGTGGCTGGTCTCGGTCAGCAGTTGAGTTCACTTGCTTTGCTTTCCGTTATGTCTTCTCTATTTCAGAGCCCCTTTCAGGCAACAAACTGATTCTGCTGTAGAGAAAAATACAGAGGGCATCTCTGCTAGCACCCCCCTAGGTGTAATCACAAATCGTGCTATACTCGGCTCTGCTAATGGTATTGCGAATGCTGGTGCCGCCTCAACTACAGGAAAGGACTTCTCAGCTGAGGAAGCCAGGGAGCGCAGAAGGTTAGTGAGCAGAGTGCCGGTGTGTGTCGGTCCTCCTCTCTGATCAGCTCTCATGTGGTGGTGATGGTGGGGGTGCAAGAACTGTTTCTTAGGTGCTACATGGAGTTACAGGCTGCCGCCCCTGCTCCATCTTAAGGTTTTGAACTGAGTCATCACTGGCTTGTAGGTTAAATTTAGTTTCATAATTTTCTACTTGTGTTTTCAGCATCTCAGCCTTTTTCTTCAGTAGTCATCTCAGCTACTAATCTCAGTCCCTAAGGCCTCTGTGCAGAGGGACAGACAGCCCAGTAGCCGCTTGCAGTAGGTTCTGTAACATGAATCCCATCCTTAAAAGAGCGTCGGACTGAGACACGTTAAGAGAAAATCCGTCCCTCTGATTCTGCTCAGCTAAGTTTACATGTGCCCCGATGGAGACATCTGTGCTGCAAAGTCCCCAAGATTCCCTCTGCAGTTAGTGGGGGGAAACAAACATTCTTGGAGTATGTAGATGTGCGATGTGGGAGGAGATGGACTGCGCGCCAGCAGCATGCATTTCTTTCGATTGACTGTAAAGAAAGACTTAGCTCAGAGGCAGAGGTCTGCCACGTGCAACTGAGGCTATTCCAGCAGTAGCAGCATTTTGAATTACTCTGAATCTAGCTGGTGGTATCTCTTTCTTATCATACGATGTTATTTTAAGACTGGGGAAATATAAACCTAGGGTAGCCGGTGCTCTTTTCAAAGGAAATTTACAGTTTGCATTTAAGTACAGAATATCAAATGATCTGTATTTATTCCTGCAAACAGGTTAACTTTTGCAAAATCTGTCTCTTCTCATGGCGTCAATGAAAGTAAATGGTAATAAATAAAATGCAGCTATGAACTGTATTTCTAACTAGCAACCAGGTCATGGAGTGTTTTCAGTGATTAGATTCTTCCAAACTAAAATAATAACTTCTTAAAATACAGACCTTCCTGAGTGGAGATCGTACTCTGACATGTTTTAAATGGCCTGAAGCGAAAGGATGTGAAAAGCAATAATGGAAATTATCAGCTTGCAAAGGTAAAGGTGGTGGAGCTCAGCAGTGCCACATAGTCTGCAGTCAGCTGCGCGCCCTCTCTGTGGAGGGAGGACATGCTTGCTGCGAGCCTCTCCTTGCTCCAGCTGCAGCAGATCCAAGAAAGAAGGTGG